GGGGCCGGGCCGCCTCCCGGGGCCGCCCGACGGAGCCGCGCCCCGCAGAGCGGCCTGGGCCAAGCGCCTGGCGCGGAGACTGCGAGGTGAGAGAGCGGCGATCCCGGCGCCCCGCACCCTGAGCGCGCTGCCGAGGCGCGGCAACGCTTCCTGCGCTTCTTTGTAGTCTGTTCCCTGTAGTAGTCCGTAGTCCTCCTTTTCCTCTGCCCGTGTCCTTTTCCATCCATCCTTGCCCTGTCTCTGTGTCCCCGTCTCCGTGCACATCCATCTCCTGATGCCCGTCGCGGTTATTCTCCCCAGCACACGCAGATGCACCCGCACTTCTCTCCTTCCTTTTCACACCTCTCTGCCTCCCASATCWTACCYGTGYCTGCKTTCTGTGRGACAMTYCTGCATAGAGGAGGTTTAGGYTGGACATTAGGAGGARTTTCTTTGCAGAAAGGGKGTCATTGGAATGGATTGCATGTGGAGGCGAAGGAGTCACTGTGCCTGGAGGTCTTTAAGGAAAGACTGGATGTGGTACTCGGTGCCATGGWCAAGTTGATATGGTGATGTTGGGTCATAGGTTGGACTCAAAGATCTCTGAGATCTTTTCCAGCCTTGGCTTTCTGCCCTAACACGAGGTCTTTGGGGAGTTGGAGCAGAATGCATGTCCTTCTCTCTTTCTCAGCATCCCTCACTCTGTAGGAGAGGTGGTTAAAATGTCTTGGGATACCTGGAGTGGGTTTGCTGGGAGGGTGTTTGATTCATTTTGATTTTCTGCAGTATTGTGCAGTGCCTTGGGGCTGCCCTCAACAGCTGAGAGCTGCCACTTGTCACACAGCTGGTGACCAGGGACAGAGTTCGAAGCCAAACCAGGAACACATGGTTCCAAAAAAGTGGACTTTTGGGGTGGCATTCAAAGCTTACTGCATTAACTCTGTTTAGCTGGCCTTGTAGGATTGATATGACACAGCAGAGAAAATGCCGGATGGGGAGTCCTTTGGATTTAAGWTTGTGGGAGCACCTTGAAAAACTCAATTTCTTTTCAGAGAAGCTTAAAATGTCAGCTTCAAACTGCAGAGTTTTAAACAGAGGATTGGTTTAAGTACCAGATAAAGTCTTCATAGTTATAAAGCTGCAGTAAAATAAAATTTATTCTTCTGAAATGTGAGTTTTCTGAATTGGTAGATAGTACTGTTACTGACTGCCACACCATCAGTCGAACTGTCAAAACAACCTTGATTTTAAACAAGGATTTGCACCTTCTCTTTGATTTTCATGTTCATTCAAAGATCATTTGCTGTAATGATTTCTCTGGCKTCATCTGTATTGCACCAAAATAAATCCCTCTTGGACACTGCAGTGTCTTCATTGTATGCAAGTCAGACTTGTAGAGATTATGGAATAGAACATGTTTTCTTTTTAGCAGATTTTATAGGGACTGTATTCAATGATCTAAGTCACTTCATTACCAGAAACCAGAATGACTAGGAAAAAAATACCAGCAATAATAGTGTTTTACATGAACTGGCACTTCTCTGGAGTCTTCAGTGGTGTTTAGTGTGTTGCTGAGATATGTAATTRCCTAGGAAAAGAGCTGCTTCACATGGAGAAAGTAAAGTCCTTTTATAAAAGCTTTTGTCTAAGTTCAGATGCTCCCTTCATATTAGCTGTTGCCAAGAAGGAACCTCCTGTGTGTGTTTTTAACTGTGGAGAGAAACAGCAGTGTTTGTCCATGAGGCGAGTGTGAGAGTGCCTTAGTGGGGTCCTGGCACGTGTTGCTCCTGTTTGATCTCTGTCCTGATTTGTGCAGTAATATTCAAAATAGTTTCTGCTCATGTATAGCCTGCATCTGTAGGCAAATGTAGCTAGAGTTACTGCAGCAGACAGATCCTTTTCTGGCTCTTTGGTGAGAATGTTGCCATAAATTCCTGGGCACAGCRAATGTTGGGGTGAGACTTTGGTGTCATGGAGGTGCTGCAGAGTGTTGTATTTAGTTGTGGAATAGGTAACACTTTCTCTGAAAAATGTGATCCTTGTACTACACAGCTAAAGGACTGATTGCAAGCCTGACATTATTGTAGGCTCTTGAAGGATAACTGAGGGTTTAATATTGGAAAAAACACTTTGTATTTTTTTTGACATTCCATGGATATCCATGAGGATCACTGAAGACTGGAAAATGGTGTGCTCAGTTTTATTTCAAGATGCCTACAGGAAAGYTGGCATAGATTTATTTAATGAAATTCCATCTCATTAGGCAGGATTTAGCAAGAGGGATTAATCCTTTGGGTATGACCAGTGATAGTGCTACCATGGCAAAAAAGGTGCCACTCATTACTGAAGGATGTTCAGTGACAGGTTACACTTTTACTTGCTCTCAGTTATGAAAGMAGAATGCAGAGAGGATTTAAGGTGTTGGGACTTTGGTAATTGCAGCTGTTGGAGAAACTGTAATAGGAGTTTCCAAGTGAATAGAAAGTTGGCTACTTCAGTCTGTCAATATTTTAGGTTCTTCTTTTTGTGGATACTGTCCAGATTCTAAAGTGAATGTCTGGGAAGTGGCTTTAGTACTTTGGTTTTTCSTATCTCCTCAGCAAAGATCCCAGATGCTGAGAGAAGAGGGGCTGACTATTCTGCTGTGTTAAGGAGAAAGTTACCAGAAGTTTTGATGGGTAAAAACAAAGTTTCCAGAGCCAGGCTGGAAAGGTAATCCTGTCCTCTGGAGCTGTACTTGGTCACTCAGTGCTGCCATGTCCTCGTGTGTATCAATGCTGATGTGTGTTGGGCATTTCTTGGAGGGTTTTTAGTTATTGTAAAAGGAAGGGACCAAATACTCTTCTCAGTCACTCCTTAATTGGTACTTTCATGAAGAATGCTACATACAGAATGAGTATAGCAATTTTTAGCTGCAGGTTTATTTGACAAAAGTACACAGATTCAGGCCAAAAGTTGATAAATAGCAAATTTATATAAGGAAACAAAACGGTTTTGGGGCTTGCAGCAGCTGTCAAATTCAGCACTGCTCACCTYCACTGTGCTTGATGCATCTAAATCAATATTCTAGTAAGACAAAAAGGGTAATAATATGTGCATATTGCAAAAATGTAACAGCTAATGAAAGCTTCAAGCTAGCTGATGGGCAAATTCAGAGTTAGTTTAGCACAAAGAATGTTGTGTGATCCCTGGTGCTTTTTGGTTGGGTTTTTTCTTTGCTGTAACTTTCTGTTCTTTGCTGACTTGACTCCTAACAATAGTCTAATATGACAGAGTTTGAGTTTGGAAGCTTTCTGCTTCTGCTCACCGCATTTCTTATTGGTGAGTAATGTGCTGACAGCCGGGACTYGGCTTTCTCGCCAGCTTAGCTCACTGGCTTTTCCAGCCTTTTCTTCCTCTCTTCCATCATGTTTTCCTGTCTTTATTATGAGGGTTGCTAGTGCAACGTAGTGCTGTGCTAGAGGCTGAATTTGTTGAGCTCTTTGTTATTAGTGACTCTGTAAGTGCTCTTGGATTTGTGTTTTTAAGAATGACCTAATGGGRAGGATTTGGCATTCTGTGCAGTAAMGYTGCRGTCTTTATCTGCARATTTTCAAAYTTGGCCTTAAAGAACAGCTTTGAAAAAGCTCTCTTATTTGGGGATCTGACACTAGGGAAGGTAGTAAGTTACTAATTAAGGAATGGGAACAGAGATTAACGCTAAAACTKTTAGTGCTTGCTGTGCCTGTGCAGAGAAGTTTCCAGGTTTATGTCACAGCTTAAAAATGTGGTAGCTGAAAGACTTCAAGAAACATCTAACACATTATTTTTTTTTTCTTATTTACACAGGTAGAGGGAAAAGCTTCCTTATTCCCATCTCTGCTAGCAAACAAAGGTCTGCAGCAGGCAGCTTAGTCCTTTGTTTTAGTCTTACAGCACTGATTGMAGATTGGCTGAACTCATGCTTCATTGTCAGCTTTTTAATGTGTTTTAGCTATCCCTTGTCACTGTTCCACTTCAAATTACTGTGGTATGTTTGATGGTTCCAAGTTTTTTTCCTAGGAAGTTTGAGGTTACTTCATTTCCATCTACTGAGAATGTAAAGGGTGTTTGGAAAGGCTGGCTGTTTAAAACACCTGAAAAGGATGAAAGTTTAATGCAATTCTGGAGGAGGGAATTTGGAGGAGGGGATTTTAATTTTTATATGCTTTTTCTGTTGCCAGAATAAAGGGTCAAATTGCCTTGCTTTAGGTGTAAATGAAGAGAAGTTCCATGAAGGTAGCTGTTCTGGCCTGAGCAGCACCAGATGCTTTATTTTTTTCTGTTCTGTACTAGGCACAAGAACTAAATATGGTGGTTGCTAACTGTGTTTTGTTTTAAAATGGTTGTTTCTTTTAGAAGCCTAATTTAAAATATCCTTTTACTTTTGTGTTGTTACCCTTTAGGAAAGGCTGACAAAACTTCAGCAGCTTCTCTTACTGTCTTCTTGGGAAATGTCAAGCGTAATATAAAGTGAGGRACAGGCAGAAGCAGATCAGCTTCATGCAGTTTCTCAATTTGACAGCTAGATTTGATGGCAGATGCTCCTTTAGGCTGCTGATGTTTAATTGGCAGCTCCTTGTTGTACAGGGAAAGAAGTCATGTAGAAATGCTCACCAAGATCCCTGCTGTGTGTCTTGCCTATCTGGGGGATGAAGGTTACSATCTGAATGTTTTAAAATGTGTTTGACTCATGTATCCTCCTTACATGTAGAGGGTTAAGACTAATCCTACAAGTTTGACAAGGAATGTTCATTTTTGTTCACCTAACAATGCTTCTCATATTTTTTTTAATAAAAGCACTGCACTTCCATTTCTTGAAGGATGGCTGTCGGTTCTTGTCTCTGTATCCTTGTTCTGTTCTYATACCATGTGGTCCTAAGTGACAGCACTTCTAAAAACACCACAGATCCTGTTGGTGTTCTGCTGAGCTGTTCCTAAATTATTATGGCATCTCATGGATAACTGATACTCCCCCAGGGCTTGTTCAATCTATGAACAAAGTTGTTCTTGCTTAAACTTGGGTCAGTTTAAATTCTGTAGAGGACCCTGCAGCAGGCATGACATAAGTTAAGCTTTCAGCATCACTTCTTATGCCRCTTGTGTATCTAGTATCAGACACCTGTGTACATCATTATATGCTTGTTTTCTCCTTTTAAGGTCTGTGGGGGACAAGACTCATGGAAGAGAACAACACCAGCAGGGAGCGGTACCTGAAAAGTGTTTTACGGGAGCTGATCACGTACATGATTTTCCTCGTGGTCCTCTGTGTCTGTAAGTGCTGTTCAGYAGCTGTGCATCCAGTTCTGTCCTACCTGCTTGCTGTGATTCCAGAARGAAGGTTGTTTGGTGTGGGAGAAGAATTAGTGGCCAGGTGTCTGGGCAAATACTTGGAATCAAATATTTCTCTTTCTGTGCATGGGTTGTTGCTTGAGACTGTGCCTTAACAAGTTTGAAATCTTTAGGCAGGCTGATAATATTCTTAGTTTTTAGAGAGCCTTTTTTTACTGTGGTACCACATAGCAGTGTAATGCTTCTGCTACACATTTTGCAATCCCTGAGCAGAGCTGGTAAATATGAAGAGGAGGAGTTAGTCATCTAGGACAAATAATTGAACTAAATCACCGAGTTTGAAGTTCATCACCAAGGTTATGTACTGATCACAGCTGGAGACTTGTGTTATTTGTTGTCTTGATACCATATGAAGTACCATAACACTAAAGAACACAGAACATAGTAACATGCAACTTAAAGAACTTCTCGTGGAGTTAGAAAATACCTTTTATTTGTTTGCTAGGGAGAAAAGCAATGAAATATATACATTGAGTTAGTGTCTTTTAGAAAGCCATTGTGTTTCARGTCTCCAGTTTATAGTGTGGGCATTTCCACTCTAAATGGCTGAAGCGTCAGTGACCCTGACGTTGCCATTTATGATCAGCTGTAATACAAGGTGATGTTTTTAATTTTTGTGAGAGGGCATCTCAGAGTGGAAAAGCAGATGCAAAACTACATTGATAGACTGTCTCTGAGAGCAAGCCAACTCTGCTTGAATATAGCCGAAATACTGAAAAGCCCAAATTTTATACCATTGACACAACTGTTTTGATGCTATACTGCAGGCATGTTTATATATTTTTTCATTCCTGAGCCATTTAAAAATGCTTAGAGTAGGTTTATGAGTAAAGTAGTGTAAAGCTGCTTGTGGCTGGCACGCTGTACCACCAAGAGGTGTAGCAGTGAGAGGCCTGGGTTAAAGTGAAATTTGTTTCAGCGGAAGTTTGACTTTTAACAGACTGTTAACTGTTTTGCTACAGAAAAAGAATTTTGCTAACAGAATAAAGGAAAAGTGTAGTGTGTTAAATATCTAGAGATATTGCTAAYTTATTGGTGTTTTTAAAGTACTATATTTTCTATTTTTTTCATAAGCAATAACTGTAGGTCAGTCTGGTCTGTGGCTTGGCATGCYCCAGGAGAGAGCTTTCCAGTGCAGGCTAAATGCTGTGGGCATTTCTTTTTCTCTTGTGGTTTGGAGAGTACATATTTAGAGAGAATTCAGGTATTGCACAGTCGTGTGATACATTCCACATGCACGACAAGATCTATTAAAAATAGTTCTTGTTCTCTGGTTGTTAAGGGAAACACAAAATTTATAAATTTTATAAAGTTGTCAAAACTGACAGTGATTGTACACTGTGGGCCTAATCTTTCAGACTCCTCTGAGTTTCAGCCTTAGAGTGGTTTAAGTATTTGTAGGTGGTAACAATATCCATGCCAGAGACTGTTGCCTCAAGCCATCTTGGTTTTGTACATTGTGTTATAATTTATGCTCTGTGGCCCTCAGCCAAATATTTGGCCCTGGAGAAAAAGGAGTAACAGCCTAATTTATTTTCTATGGGGAGTTTCTCTTAAAGGCACTGCACATAAGGGCTGGAGGTTCATTGCCTAAACCATGTCATTCCCAGTCCCGTGCAGTATCCTATTTGACTGCCATTATCTGCTCAAGCAGAGCACAGTTCCCCTGAGGTCTTAGTGCCATSTCTGCGGGTTCTCCATGTGTGCCTTGAACAGCACAGGTCACCTAAAAAGGCTCTACCTGCCTCTCTTCAGGCTGCTGAATCGTGTCTTTGTTTTCCTTGAGGTTGGCTTTTGTAGAAACATTCATAATAGAGTGATTTATGGAAAGGAGAAGAGAGCATCTTAAATGGATTAATCAGTCTACCTTCACTGCTTTTTGTATTTTAATCACAATTGATAGATAAATGCTGCTTGGTGCCGGTTTTGTATTGCAGTTTTATAATCCCACTACAAAATCTGTACAAATACAGYCTGATGTATTCAAAACAAAGAAAGTAGTTTTTTCTTCTTTTTTTTTTTTCTTTTCCTCATTCCTTGATTTCTCACTCCTTACCAAATCTTTTGCAGTGACTTATGGGACAGTGAGTTCCAGTATGTACTATTACACAAGGGTTATGTCACAGCTCTTCCTGGAAACACCTGTGTCAAAAACGGAGAGAACTGATTTCAAAACTTTGTCCACGATGGATGACTTCTGGAAGGTAATCTAAGACCAAGTTTTTATACCTCTTGTTGGTGTGGTTTGCTGGTCCTGRCATGAACTGTAAATTTAACAGGCAGGATCTTATTTCCTAACGTGRTAGGGCTTGTGCATGAAGATCTATGTGCACAATGTCCAAGCTATGGAACAAAGTAGGCCCTTGGTATGGGAAAATTTAGAACTCAAATAATGTTGGTGGGGCAGAGTAGGGCAAGTTTGTGGGGTATCTTCGGAGGACAGGTAACAGTGAAGCCTTATGTCAGAAAAATTGTCAACTATTATTCTAACTTCTGTGTGGAGTAAAGATCTACAAAAATAGTGCCAGAAACATGCAAACTAAAATTCTGTCATCCTCCCCAGTTCACAGAAGGCCCTTTGCTAGATGGTCTTTACTGGGAGATGTGGTACAACAACAAAACCATGGCAGAAAACAAAAGCTTCATTTATTATGAGAACCTGCTCCTGGGGGTGCCTCGCATTCGGCAGCTGAAGGTCAGAAATGGTTCGTGCTCCATACCTGAAGATTTAAAGGATGAAATCAAAGACTGCTATGATGTGTATTCTGTAGCTAATGAAGACACTGCTCCTTTTGGACTTCGGAATGGAACTGCGTATGTAGCATTGCTGTAGAMCCATAATCCTTTTTAATGTTCTTGTGACCCATCTTTCTACCTTAATTTTATGGTGTTAGTCAAAGGAACTTCGTAACTTCTTTCTCTGGGCGGGGGTACATCAATACTTTGTAGCAAGCACYTCTGAARTGAAACCTTTAAGTCACTAATATGWGGTTTTTGGTCTGGTTTTGTYAGTTATAAGTTGTTAATTATAAGTTGAAGGTGGGAAGGCCAATGTGCTCTGTTTCTCTTGCTTCTGAACTAGCTGGACATACACCAATGAAAAGGATTTGAATGGGAGCAGCCACTGGGGCTTGATCGCCACRTACAGCGGGGCTGGTTATTACCAAGACCTCTCGAGGACCAGAGAAGTGACAGCTTTGCAGATTGCCAGCCTGAAGAAGAACCTATGGCTGGACAGAGGGACCAGAGCAGCTTTCATTGATTTCTCTGTATACAATGCAAATATCAACCTATTTTGYGTGGTCAGGTATGAACAGAGCCATGACAGGGGTCAGTTGCACAGTGTGGGTTGGGGGCTTGGGGTTTTCTTGTAATTGCTTTGTTTTGGGGACATGGGTGTGTGTTTTGAGTAAAGGGGACAGACAACTGAAGTGTTGTCCCTCCCTGTCAAAGAAATTAGATTCCTCATGGAGTCTGTCCTGGCTTTCCTGGTGCCACAATGGCTTGGATGCAGTTTGCAGAAGATTTCTGTAGGGAGCTGGCTTCTTTAAATAAATGCATGGGTATGCAGCATCGGCCTTTAGTTTAGACAGCRTGAAACAGGCACAGATGAAAACAAATCTGTTTCTGTTTCTTCACTGTTCCTGAAGGTCTTTGGGTTTTAGTCAAAACTGAGTGTGATCACATTTACAACTTTTGTGTGACGCCTTCTCTGAATCATATGTGGGTTTATTTCTATTATTTAAATAATGATTCAGATAAACCCAAATGTCTATTAGTAGTGCTTTTCATCAGTTCTGGTTAAATTAAATTCCTTTTTTCTTTGCCTTTTTTTGAAATGCAGGTTGCTAGTAGAGTTTCCAGCCACTGGAGGCCTTATTACATCTTGGCAGTTTCAGCCAGTGAGGCTGATTCATTACATCTCCACTTTTGATTTTTTCCTGGCAGCCTGTGAAATGTCCTTCTGTCTTTTTGTTCTGTATTACATGGTGGAAGAGATCTTAGAAATTCGCATTCATAGACTGCGATACTTCAGAAGTCTTTGGAATTGTCTTGATATCCTTATCATTGTGGTAAGTAACCTTTGTAACAAGGCTAAAATAGCTTTCTAAAATGCACTTTGTGGGAGACTTTAATTATTGGGTGTTCCTATTGTGGGTTTAAAGGATAAGACCATCATTAGGAAGAATACTTACWGTTAGGCTATTCAGTCTGAATAAGACAATTTTAGTCTGTGTTGCAATGTTGGTGTGTTTTGCAAAGTTGGTTGTTCTCTCAGTGGTTTCAACCTGGTATATAGTTAGATTATTTGTCCATCATGCTTTTTCACAGTTTTTGTTTATACAGACATAGCTATTTTTGGAGGAGATAAACCTGCCCTCTCTTCAGTGTATCTGGTGCAGACTATTGGTTCTGACTTTCAAGAAAGAAAATCATCTGCTTTGAAGAAGCGATTTGCATTTTGAGGAATGGGACTGGGATTTGAGTATGTTCGCAAAGAAYAACAAAGAGATTTATTGTGGTATTAAATACTCACCAGCTAATACCAAGTTTGAAGAAGTGTCTCAAAACTGTAGAGTGCTAGCAGCTGTCTTGGTTAAGTGGACAGTGTTGCACATCTTGTAATCTTAGTGTCCCAGAAAATATGAGCTTTGGCTTTAAAGCTGCATAATAATTCTCTCTGGACTCACATCAAGCTGTGCTTACCAAAAGTATACAAAGCCAGAAGTGCTGAAACAGTTCCAGTCCCACACTCGTTTTGTATCTTCAGGCTTGGATGAATCGAATCAAGACTTCAAGTCTTGAAGTTAGTATCTGTAATCCAGGGATATCATATTTGTATCACAGTGCTTTGTAAAAGTAGGGCTGTTTAGGGGTATGTTTATGTGAACTGTGTGCTGCTTGTTGCTCTTATTGATGGGGGCAGGGTTAAGATGCTTTGCTGTTACAGTCAGGGAAGAGTATGTAAGTGTGAGTGTAAAATTCAGATTAGACGAAGGATCAACATTTTATGCTTATGCCTTGCCTGAGGGGCATTGTTTAAGAGTAGGATTATGGACTTATGACTATATAWGGTGAAGTGTTCACTTATAGTTATGAGCAGCTCATGTGCAGATGTCAAAGCAAGAGACATGTATGGTGAAACTGCAGCTTCTCTGCTGTTGCTTGTTGTGATCAGTCTGTGCTCTGGAAAAGCTGTAGAGCCTCTTTGGCCATTGCTGTATTTCTGCTCTCTGCTCTTTTTCACCTTGGTSTTCTTGAGCTGTGATATTTCCTTCCTTGTATTTTCTTCTCTGTGACAGCATCACTTTTCTAAGCCTACTAGATGTCRCTCTCGTCTTTTGTTCTTCACCTGTGTGGCAATGAAATGACTTCCCCAAACTATTGGTATGTAGTCCAGGACTATAATAGTTTTCTTGTGAAATGCATGAAGCTCCTCATATCTTAACTTTATCTCACATATGTGGTTCAAACAACTCGTTTTAAAACCCTAATCTCATTTTGTGAATCTCTGTATCTCTTTTGTCCTCAGCTCTCTGTGGTAGCCATAGCAATTAGCATCTATAGGACATCAGCTGTTGATATGCTCCTGAAGAAGCTGCTGGAAGATCAGAACTCATTCCCCAATTTTGAACCTTTGGCGTATTGGCAAATGCAGTTCAACAACATTGCTGCAGTCACTGTGTTTTTTGTCTGGATTAAGGTAACTCCAAGACACACGTCCTTATTCTAACATTAGAATGTCAGCAGTATCCTGAATTACACATGATAYATTATTTGAGGTTTATTCACATTTCTCCCAAAGTCGATCATGTGACAAAGTCAGAACTTGGGGGTAGCTTTGTACAGATGAAAAGCAAGGCTGTAACATGTTTCGTCCACTCTTGTGTAGATCTAAAAGATGTAGTCACTGCGAGTGTTTTGTCAGCAGACACATTAAAAAATATTTTTATTATTCCTCAACTGGTAAGTCAGTAATTCTTACTCGGTACTGCTTTGTCTCCAGTTATCTCAGTAAGGCATCTCACATAAAAGACTGGAGAGCAATTATGTTAAGAAATTGTCTTCCTCATCTTTATATTTTTTTTTCTTTTTTTCTTTCAACAGCTTTTCAAATTTGTTAACTTCAACAGAACAATGAGTCAGTTATCCACCACCATGTCTCGCTGTGTCAAGGACGTCATTGGCTTTGCCATTATGTTTTTTATTATTTTCTTAGCTTATGCTCAGTTGGCCTATCTTGTCTTTGGCACTCAAATTGATGACTTCAGCACTTTCCAGGACTGCATGTAAGTACAGGTATAAAAAAAATATAAAGAAGATTTTGGTGCTTTGATTTATTGGTTGCCTTATCAGAGGTGAATGCTGTGACGTCCATCTAAACATGTAAGCTGCAGACATTGCTGCAGCCCAGTATCAAATCCATTTGTTAGAGTGTTTTTATCTCAGTGGTTTTGCTATGAGATTAAAAATATACTGTAGTCAAGAGCAGTGAGCTAAAAATGACAGGGTCTGGTTGGTATGACATGATTTTTGCAGCAATTAGTCACATTCCTAGACAAACTCCATGTTCAATGGTTAAATGCTTACTGAAATGTTGGATGCATAATAAGGCTGTGTTCCTGATAGCGTTCAAAGCTGCTTGACTCAGAGTCCATCTTAGCCAACCATAAAATCTGTAAGTATCTGGAATCCAGGAAAGAGGGAGGACTTAATAGTTTTCCCTTGGTTGATTTGGCACAATACAACCTGATTGTAATGGAGGTAATTAACAGTTGTTCAGTCACTGATTTTTCCCTGCCCCCTTATGTTGGGGCAGTGTTGCAAAGAGTTTCTTGCAGAGAAGTAAAGGAACTGGAAATATGCTGCTGATGCTGTAAAGTGTCAAGCTTTTTCCAGCTTAGAGGGAGAGGGCTGGGGTTTCATGTGTGTGAGAGAGATGGGAGTGAGTCTCAAAGCTTCACAGTAATAATTACAGATTTGCTCCACTTCCTGTTGCCCTCATTATCAGTTGTGACCAAAAGGCACAGGTACCTGCTCTGGTTTTGCTCTCTCTGTGTGGTACCTGACTGGGGGTTTGGTTATGCCTCCAGATGTGCTTGATGAATTGGTTCTGCAGTGCCTGATCAAGTGTTACCTTATGCAGAACTATTTTATTCATCAGTCACACTGTTAGCATAAAGTAGTTTGTGGATCCTTGCACAGCTCCAGTGATGTTTTCTTCAATTCCTGGATGTGTTTTGTTTTTAAGATTTACTCAGTTCCGCATCATTTTGGGAGACTTCAACTTCACAGAGGTTGAAGAAGCTAATCGAATTTTGGGACCCATTTATTTCACTACATTTGTGTTCTTTATGTTCTTCATTCTTTTGGTATGTACTCTTTGTTTATGTGGGGTGGGTCAGTGGCAGTTTTTGCATCACTTGCTCTTTGATTACTCCTGCTACTTTTGGGRCTTTTTCTGATAATGGTGAGTGTGTGGCCCATGAAGAGGCCTGAGTAATACATGGCTGGGCACTATACTTTTTCCTTTTTTTCTTCATTTAAAATTGATTTCCATTGTATGTTTTTTTTATCATTGTCATATAGTGCTCCACATTGTGTTTTTAATTTTTTTTTCATTATTATTAKTAGTAGTAGTACAAAGAAAACTGTACAGAAGTCCTGTACCATCATAATTTCTAGAGTTATTTAGTGGCCCCTGTACTTAGTGTGGCATKTTATTGCTATTTGAGATGAGAAGGGATAGCATTCAGGTTTTATTTGTGGGTAAAGACTTCATCTTGGATGTTCAGTAGTAAGGAAGCAGTTAAGTGTTCAGTGAGATGGAACCAGAATCAATGGGAAAATAACATATGGGACACTGACCAATGGTACACATGAAGCAGATTTCCTATTTGCTTTGTAGCACCTCACACATTCCAGAGGAGCAGAGTCTAGTGTCCATCAAGGGAAAGAAAATTTTTTTTCTAACAGAAAAGCACTGGACAGTAAGTCCAGTTATCCAAAGTATTCACTATAATTTGTGTGCTTATTAATACCTGTACAGCCTCTCATTTGGCCTGAGTGATGTGTTGATGTAAGCCACTTGAGACCAATCTGAGACCTGGAAATTAAGTGAGGGAAGATGGGCAGAAAGCACCAACTCTTAAAACAGGGCAAAATAGCAGCAAAAAATAGCACAATAATGAATTGTCAAGTTACCTCTTACTTCTCTGGTGTCAGGCATGAATGCGTGAAGATACAGCACTGAAAACCTGTTCCACAGCATGTTTTTATGTCCATGAGGAAACAGAGGGTAGCACTGCCTTTCTGCATTGGATGTGCCAGTAAATCTAGTAATTTTTTTTTTAAAGTGAATATTCAATTTGGAATTCAGTCATGCTTACTCCTTGTTCAGCAGGGACCTTTCAGTTATGACCRGCATGGTTTGATTAAGTTACATGCTTGGCACAGGGTTCGTGAGACCAATATTTTCTCCTTTCTCTGACCAAACGGCCAAGCWCTTTTCAGAGTTGATGCCAAGTGCCTGATTTTTAAGCCTTTTGCTTTTATTTTTAGTCTGAAATGCCAGCAGAGCTATAATTAGATAAGAGCCTTTTGTTTGTGCTGATTATTACAGGATGAATAGTTGACTTGATTCCYCAGGCATTTTTGTTTCTAGCTGTGTTGCCTGGATTAACTCAGTTGTTTTCTGAGTAAGTTTGGCCTTGTAGGGTTTACTGCCACTGCTGTGTGTAGCTGTGAACCCTGTCTGGAAAAGGATTCTCCACTTATATTAATAACCAGTAATGTTGATTAAAAATTATTATATTGCAGCACACCATATTTCAATATCAAACTCTGGATGCCAGGTTTTTTTTAAACAGCCCACGATTTTCTCCTGGCCTTTTAAGACAAAATTCATGCATARATCTGCACAAGAAGATCATAGGAGTAGTAGGGCTCAGTTTGCTGAAATTTCAGATTTCAACTCTTTGTTTTCTCTTACAAACAGAACATGTTTTTGGCCATTATCAATGATACCTACTCTGAAGTCAAATCAGATATGGCACAACAGAAGGCAGAAATGGAACTGTCTGACCTTATCAGGAAGGTAAATGTAATGTTTTGTTTGTTTGACATCTTACTCTTCATGTCTGAACTTATTTCATAACACACTGTATAAACTGTACAAATAAAGCTGGCAGCAGCTAGTGAGAGTACACAGCTCAGTTAAAATAAATTAGTCTGAGCTGGGTGTAAATTAAATGAGTGAAAACTTCCCATCTCAATGTAATTTAGTCATCTGAGACTTTGCCTTGAATGATCCCACTGAACACACTGAATGATAGTGTACAGCAGCTGATTTTTGTAATCAAAAAGTTATGAGAAATCAAATCTTCAAATCTGACGTGAAGCAACAAAATTTCAATTCCTCTTTTAGGGCTACAACAAAGCCATGATCAAACTTAAATTGAAGAAGACTACTGTTGATGACATTTCAGAAAGTCTGAGACAGGGTGGAGGAAAACTCAATTTTGATGAACTCCGGCAAGATCTGAAAGGGTAAGGGAGTTTTTACTTCTTACCTTGAGTAGTATCCCCAAAGACATGTGGTGTTAACTTTTTGATGTGATTTTCCTCTAGCAAAAGTACACTAATGTGGTAAAGACACACAGCAGGGTACTTTTCTCTGCATTATGGCTGGTGTTGCCATCCCCCACCAGAGAAAGGATTTGGAACTCTGGGGCCCAACCTCCTTGAATTTCTGTGTTTTGGGGAAAAAAMCAGAGAGATCTCTGAGGAAGCAGAGACCTTTGTGGAAATGGTAATGTTTCTGTCAGACCACTGCAGGTGTTTGTGGACAGTCAGGAGTCCAAGGAAAGGATACAATTCAAGGAGATAGAGAAAGGATTTGTGAAAGTGAAAAGTTCTGTATAGGGGAGATTGGTGCTCTTAACTAATTAAAGGTGAGGAGTGAGGGGTTTTTATCAATAAATAGCAATGGGATGCCTTTGTGTTGGGGATGAAAATCTGTCTGAAGTGAGATGTTTTCTAACACACAGAGTTGTTTCAGCATCTGAAACATGGAAAGTAAGGGAACTGCTCATACTGTCTTTTCAGGAAGGGGCACACAGATGCAGAGATTGAAGCAATATTTACCAAATATGACCAGGATGGGGACCAGGAATTGACAGAGCATGAACATCAGCAGATGAGAGATGACCTGGAGAAAGAGAGGGTGAGCTCAGCAGTAAGAGTGGTGTTCCACCAGCACTGTCTGCCAGTCTGCTCCCTGTGCTGGTTTCCTGTCTCAGAAAAATCCTCTTGTATCCCTTCACTTTTGCTGTCATTCCTGGCTGTCTGAGCAAAACTGTAAAAAGGCACAGGGGAACTGAGAGAGGGCAGGAACTTTTTGAGCTTGACATGTCTATCCCCATGTACAGGTGAAAGATTTTACATCTCTCTGTCTCTCTCTCTCTCTGGCTTGTGTTTGCACAAAGGAGGATCTGGACCTGGACAGGAGCTCTCTGCCACGTCCTCTGAGCAGCCGCAGCTTCCCCCGAAGCTTGGAYGACTCCGAGGAGGATGAGGATGAAGACAGTGGACACAGTTCCAGGAGGAGGGGCAGCAGCTCTAGTGGGGTTTCCTATGAAGAGTTCCAAGTGTAAGTTTATCCTTCTGAGTGAGATAAATCTTCATGGTGGCTTTTGTTTGTTGTTTTTTTGTTGTTGTTGTTGTGGGTTTTCTTCTTCAGCTTATATAGTGTTCTCTCCTGTAACTTTGATATTAATCAAATTATTAATGAAAGCAATTGTTATGTTTTTTTATGTTACGTAAGTCACTACTTTTAGTAGCTGTCACATAATATCTGAACTGGAAGTGCCTTAGAGAGCCTAATGGGAACCGGTTAGAAAATAGAAAATCAGAACAAATGTAAAAAAAACCAGCAACAAAACCCCTTTTCTTAAAACGTGGTCATTGAAAAGTCAGAGGAAAGGGTCATGTTGCAATACTGCCAGAAGACTTTTCTGGCTTTTTAAGTTGTAAAACCTCAAGCTTATTTTAGGTTCACTGAGACTCCAATTGTTTTTAATAAGATTGAGTGTGTATTTTGTCTGAAATGATAGACCTCCATATTAATTAATGATAGCAGCACTAGCTAAATAAAGAATTGTGTAGCTGGAACAAACAGATTTGTGGGATGATGCTTTGAAAGCAGAGTTAAACATCTACTCCTTTCCCCCATGTGCTTTACAYCAGTTTCACTTTCTTGCTCTGGTGTTCCCTGTCCCTCCTGGACAGTAGGACTGGCATGTGGGGAGTCAGATGGGTGCTTGGATAACAGCAGTGTCTCATCCTCATCTGCTCTGTGTGTTGACATGCTAGAACAATGCTGACTGGGCAATGTCCAAGTCACTGAAGCTCCCACTTGTTGCCCTCAGACTCATGAGGCGGGTGGATCGCATGGAGCATTCCATCGGCAGCATCGTCTCCAAGATCGATGCYGTTATCGTGAAGCTGGAAGCAATGGAGAGGGCCAAGATAAAAAGGAGAGATGTGTTGGGAAGACTGTTAGATGGAGTGACAGAGGTGAGAAACCCACTGGCTGTGGTCTGGTCACAGCCTGCATGGCTTCCTTGCTGTCAGCACTTCTTTTTGCTGCGTGGCTTGGCATGACTGAAGGAGTGGTGGTAAAGAGGAGGGGGGTGCTTTGGCAGCGGGTGAGTGATTTCAGTTAGGTGCTAGGAAAACATGAAATTTAAAACGTGAAATTTTGGGAACATGGTGCAAGTTTCAGATATGGCAACATGTCTTACAGCAGGCCTATGTCCCCATTTAAACCCGTGGTTGGGACAGCAATGAAGCAGCTCCTTCATTCCTTGGTGTCTGTTGGGATTAATACAATATTTTTTATGGACTGCTCTTTTAGAGTCAGGGGGATCCAGCCCAGAAGGCCCAGCCTCCTCTTATTCTCCTTTGTTGTTTTGGGACTGTGTGTAGCAGCTGGCAGTAGCTCACTTCTGTCACCAGGCTTACCTGACTTTCTTTGCTTCTCCTTTCACCTTCTCTTTCTTGAGGCTTCTTTAAGAGTGGCCAATAGGAGAAACATGTGTGGATGCTAAAATCTGTCAGCTGCAATACAAATTGTGCTTTCCTGGATGGCAAGCTGGGCATTTCAGTATGGGAAATAAAACAATTTGCTGTGGGAGCTGCGTTTCCCCATTAGCCTATGGAAGTACTCCTGTGGTTGTATAGGGTTTTGCCTAGACTGCTGTTTGGAAGCTGCACTTCCAGCTTGTGTCTTTTAATGTGTTTAGGATGAAAGGCTGGGCCGGGACAGYGAAATCCACAGGGAGCAGATGGAGCGGCTGGTGCGGGAGGAGCTGGAGCGCTGGGAGTCGGATGACACTGCCTCCCAAATGAGCCATCGTCTGGGGACACCGCTGGGACTGAACGGCCAGCCTCGCTCCAGGAACTCCCGSCCATCGTCCTCCCAGTCAGATGGGATTGATGCCGGAGCAGGAAATGGGGGGAACAACATCCATGTGTAGGTGGAGCTTTGGAGGTGACTGCRCACGTTTCCTGTCAGTTCTCAGCCAGCAAATGCCCTGTGCTGKTCCCCAGCATGAGGGAATCACTGATCATTCACTGAGGACACCTTCCACTGGTGGAAAAAACTAAATATTCACTCCATAAATCATTTTCAGACCTATGTTATCCATGTGTAACCCCATCAGCGAGTGTCAGCCTTGGAAACAAAAATGCAGGAAACTGAATGGGCATCAGGCATGACAAAATCTACCGGGATAGAAATCTGATTCCACAGAAGTATTATGGGTAGCACTTGCATGAGGGCAGTAAACTTCAGGCAAAATAATGTGCACTAAATAATTAGTGCTGGCACACTAAAACAAGAGGCTATGAGTTTTTTCTTCCTCTTGGCAAATACAATTTTTAATTGCTTTTAAAAACAAATTTTAAAATACAGTGGCATCAGTTTGTCTCATCCATTATAACAGCTGACAGTTTCCAAAGAGAAAAAACAGCACTTTAAAAAAAAATTGAGTTTCTATCTGTTTTTTGGAGTTATTCTTGTTATATTGACATTTTACTTAACTTAAAATATTCTTTTTTCCTGTTTTTGAGAGGTAYTACTTTTCTTTAAACAGAAGAAAGCGCACTTAGTTTGTACAACTGTAAATTACATTCTGTAGTAGAAACTGTATGCATTATAATTACCATTTYAGAAGAAATATTTGCAAACTGCCTCTTCACACCCAACTAACATCATAATTTTCAGCTATGTTGCAAAGTGCCAATTTTTCAATGCTATGTTTTTAGATTTARTTGTTCCTGGGATAAACATTCCAGAGGGTCTTAGGCAAAATGGCTACTTTGCAGAAAATACACTATTTAAAAGCACACAAAATTGAAAAATACTRAGTTTTTCCTGGGTGTGACAGCAGRGGGGGCAGAGAAGTYGCTGACAGTTGGAAAAATCCAATCTTGTGCCATTTGAAKTTCTAATCACATCTCAACTCTATGGTCTGTATTTACCTTTAACTGAACTGTTTGTAAAATCGTTATGTACATTTCTACGTGGCAGGAAAGCCTAATGTGCAACATGTGATAYTCCTTTGGGAAGGTGTTTGTAGTAAAATCACTGATTCATTCTCTCTGCCTTYTGTCAGAGAAGCTTTATTTTTGAAAGGAGATGCAACACTGAAATTCTKCTGGTTTCCTGTAGAGAGCGTTGAGGCAGTGTTTGGAGCGTTTCCTGGCGGTGTGTTTCCATATGTGGAGTGCTGGTTGTGGAGGGAGGCTGTCAGTTGTGCGTTTTTCCTGAAGATGGCAGTTGTCATGTGTTTAAAGACTCAGAGTTGGTGAAAAGGATAATGGAAAGCTGCATAATCAATCACATCTCAGCTATTAGTAGSGTGTATAGAGGAAAAAAATGCCCATTTAACAGAGTATAAGCACATGTTATGTTATGTTGGTGTCTTCTGTTTCAAAAAGCTCTTCATTCTTGTGGGAGTGCAGCTTAGGCAAAGCTCCCATGCTCCATATGTTCTTACAAGGGCATTGCCTGGATGTGCAGTGGCTCAGAAAGCCTTTCCTCTATCCAGAGAACTTGCTGAAACTAAATGGACTTCATGACTTTTCATCTTTTAAGTTTTAGAGAAACCGTATGCACAGAAACCTAATTAGTGTGAGGTGCAAGAGGAGGAAATTCAGAATGGGAATTTCATAGTAGCTGTGTCTCAGGAACAGAATTATGTGGGAGAACAGGTTGTGATTCTTGTGTGGGTTCTTCTGTTGGTTATTTTGTCTGATATTGGAAAAAAATTCATGCCCTTTCAGAGGAGTCCTCATAAACTTGCCAAAACAGTGCACAGCACAGTGGGTAGGGCATTTGTGTGGATCGAGGGCACTCAGATTCAGCTCTCTCTTACCTTGACTGAAAGATTCTACACCTCAGAAACCTTTCTGAGGAAAGCTTTTCAGTGTTGAACTATGGTTTCTAACTGTAAACAAACAAGCAGACCAAAAAAACCCACCAGCTGTACACATGGCCAGCTGGTGTGCAAGGAAAATAGAAAATACAATACCAAAGCAATTTAAATAYACAGAGCCTTGTCTTTATATTCATATCCAAAATGTGTCTTTCAAAATGTAAATTCAGTCATGCAGTTCATCTTCCATTTGTACTATATGTTTATTATGAAAATGTTTGCATTAGTAGCTCTATCTTTGTTGGGGTGTATTTCTGTAACGTGTCGTTACTTGATAACAAACTTCATCTTGAAGTGCAATAAGTTTCCATGGGGTACCCGTGTGTGTTGACAGTGGGCTTTGCAGCAAGTGCATTGCATCCTGACAAATGTTACAAACATTTTATTGATGCATTTCTCAATTTTAGATAGCTTATAATATCATTTGTCACTTAGTACAAAGGTACGGTTTTTGCATAGTAATGTACAGTGTTTGRTCTTATTAGGAAGCTGTTAATTATGCAAGCCTTCTACAATGATCAAGAATGTATTGATCTGTAAAACTGAGCACTTTACTTCCTAATAAACATTTTATATCATCTATAATGCAAACACTGTGTCCTACACTTGGTTTGTTTATGATTTTGAAGAATCCTACATTTTATTTGTGTTACTTTTATCTCATAGCTTATTCTCAGATTACCTAATATAGGGAGTAGAGGGTGTAAATGAGCACAGAGGACTGGGCTCATCCTACTTTTTCATTGCCCAGGCTAGTTTCCTTAACACTTCATTGTAGATTTCTACAAATACACAGGTCTACTTTCTGCTATTTCAGGTGGCAGCTCTGACTGCCAGTAAGTGTGCCTTCATTACTTCATATCTGCTGTATAAATTCACTTTTCTYTTTCWCTAKTCTCCTTTTTTYCCCCTTTTTTCAGGGAATACTACAGCATCTGGAGGGTTTGAATGGTGCTTGGAAAGCCCAGGCTCACGTGTAAGACCCACAGCTCTCTCTGGACAGGTGTCTCACCAGCTTGAAAGCTGTATTAATGAAARTGKAATGATTAATGTAAATCCTTCTCARTCTTTAATGAAATACATACATACTGAGTTTGTTAAGTATATTAAGCCTTTAGCCTTAAAGTAAAAGTCACAGTGTGTGGGAAGCGGGAACTTTAAAAAAAATATTTAATAATGTTTGCATGCTGTAGCGTTGATGACTTTGGAGGTTTTCTTCAGGAAGTGCAGTTTGAGACGCATATTTGGAATAACAACTTTTTAAAATAATTCTTCCCTGTCCCACACGCATCACCTGGATGCCTTGTATATTCAAATGCTCTTCTCCAGTAAATCTAAACAAGAATAAAAATTTGGTCAAAAACTGAGGAAAAGCTGGGAGGAGGGGGGGAGGTTATGATAAAAGATCTGCAAGAAAAAAAGACTGAAACTGCATCACAGGAAGCAAAGAGCAACAAATTTGTGCCTTCTGTTACAGAACTGAATTTGGATGTACTGTGAGAACCAGTTTCCTGCACCAGGTGTTTGGGTATTTTGGAGCAAGAAGGGCTTTGAGATTTGGACACTACTGGCTTTGTGTGCATCTCAAAAAGTCATTAGGAATAAGTGCGATAAGATTTGCAAAGGAGCAATCATGACAATTTTCATCAGCCATGGTTTTGCTGATGACATTTTGACAAATATTTAGAGCAGTAATTTCATTCGTTTGAAAAATCTTAAAAAGAGTTAAAGACTAGCAGATACCCACAAGGGACAAAATCCTCATTAAAAAAACTTCATACAAAACAAATCAACAATATTCAACTCTTACAGAGATAGAATTTGTTGTAACTCCTGTTCAGTTTTTAACACTTCTATTCTTGAAAAAAATAATTTCCAGTGGGAAGAGTTAGTCTTTTGTTTTCAGGCAAGTCACATGTGGGGTATTTTTCAAATAAAAAAAAACTGCCAGATAGGCCTGTGTGAACTGCACAGGCTGCTGCTTTTCACTATTGCATGGTGAGTGGTGTGATTTAAACCCTGAGAAACACTCAGATGGAAAGAATGCTCCTTTCAGGCTAAACTTGCAATTACCAGTTCATTCCAAAGCCTGAGGTAAGCACACTGCCATCAGCTTTTCCTGGAGCCGATGTGGATGCTGTCAGTCTGAGTTCCAGCTCCCCAATTTCAGCTGTCTGCGTGCAAAAATGTGCAGCCACAAGAAGCCTTGTGCTGCAGAAAGGCAGAGCTGGCGAGCACCCATAAAAAATTTCCATTTCTCTCCGTGCTCCTGTGATGCCACAGCTGTGTAATAAAGGCCAGCTGTGTTTCCTGGCTTAGTCATTTGAAACAGTTAAGTGAAGAAACAGGTTTGATGAAGGCTTTAACTGTCTCAATTGGCTGTTTTTTGATGGCCTATAAGAAGAGGAGGGAGATGTGGGTTGGGAGAGGAAAAGTATTTATGTTCAGGAGACTTTTCCCGTTCTTATGGCATAGGAAGATGAAAACAAGCTCTATCTGACAGGACAACTCATTCAAAAAAATTTTTTAAAAGGGGGAATATTTAGGTTGAAAGAAGGAAAGAAGTTGTTAATGTCTGTAAGAAGCATAATCACAGATTACTTGCAAATAGAAGTGTGCTGCATGGAAGATCCAGGGGAGAAACTTCAGGAGTTTTTGCTAACATTGCTCGTATTTATATTATCAGATTATGCTCTCTCCTCCTGCTATTTACCTTTTGTGTAAAAAGACACAACAGAACACAAAGTGAGCTCTTGYACTTCACTGAAAGTTCAAGGGACAGCAATCTGTGCTTATGAAAATGGCATTTACCAGWTAACATTAGAAAACTATTCACCCTTTTCCCTTTTTTCTCCAAATTAGATGATATTCTCTCTTAGAAGATCATTTGTATAAATTGTGCAGGAAACCTGGCACTCTAGCAAGGAATTCTGAAATTCTTCATGCGGGAAACAAAAGTTTGAATACTTGTAGTGTTTATCAGCATCCCWGAGAAAATTTGCAAACTGAAAACATGTAACTATAAATCCATAACAGGGATCATTTGAGAAGGTTTGAMTCACCTTGGACTGATGCTGGTGTGTTGTCCAGAAACAATTTCCATGACATTATCGGCAGTGCCTGTCTGCAGCCATCCAGAGCAGGATATTGCATCCTTGCTTGACTCTCTGCCCACTGGGTCAGTGCAAAAGTAATCAGAAGGCAGGTGGCTGTTTCATAATACTGGAGAGTGAGGCAGTGATGTGTTTTTTGAAGAAGCAGAATGACTAAGATGTTGGTACGGCAGCTTCCTTGAGAATGAACCAGACATGACTCAAAGCCTTACAGAGGCAAAGATAATTTTCATTGAAATATGGAGGAAATACCTGAAACTGGAGAAGAATTTGCTTATTTTAGCAGGCTAGGTTAGGCTGCCCTTGAGTCTATTCATCTGTTTCCACACTTA